CCCGCCGGGGGCGGCGGCGGCGGTGGCGGCGGCGGCGGCGGTGGCGGCGTGGGGGCCGCTGCTCCTGGCGGCAGCCGATCCAATGGCACCGGCAGCAGCACGCCGGATGGCACTGGTACGGGCACGGGCACCAGCGGCGAAGGGGACACCGTTGGCAGCCTTGAGGCGTCAGATGAGGGGTCAAACGAGCCGGCGGAACAGGTGGGCGGATAGAGAATGTTGCAGACAGCGGCCGGCGTCAGACTTCCATCGCCGGCTCAGTCAGTTGGGGCGGCGGGTGGACTGGTCAACGCACATTGACTGCGCCAGCGGGGCGCTTTCAAACATGCTCGACTCACACGTGCATGCGCGCGCTGCTGTCTTGATGGGGGTGCTGGTTTTGACACGCGCCCTCACCTACCCAACCTCAACTTTGCCCTCAACCCTCATGTCCGCTGCCATCCACCGCAGCAGCCGGCCCCGCCAGACGCCAGCAGAGCTCGCCCCTTGAGGCCAACCGGCATGCCCAGCGGCCCCGCCGCCGGGGCCGCGCCCGCCGACCCCTCCCGCAGCTGCTCTGTGCTGCAGCAGCCGCGGCTTGCGGCGCGCGGTGCGGCTACGCCGTGCCGAATCGCCAGCGGTGGTGGTGGCGAGTTGGGCGGGCTCGCGCAGCCGACGCTCGTGGCAGATCAGGCGCCCACCCAGCATGGCGCACGCAGCGCCGCCGCCGCAGGCGGTGGAGCAGGCCTCTGGCCGCCGGCCGCAGCCGCCCCCTGCCCGCGCGCCGGGCCAGGCTGCGCGGCGGCAAGCGCAGGGGCGCACGCTGCGCCGCTGCAGGCGCCTGAGCGGCACTCGCCGTCTGGCGCAGGCGATGGGGCTCTGGCTCGCATCGGCGCCACGGGCGCAGAGCCGATGGCGGTCGATGCGCCAGCGACGGCAGCACGGCCGCAGCAGCAGGAGCATCAGCGTCAGCAGCAGCGGGAGGGGCCACGCGCACAGCCGGCGCATGGCGCGTGGCTGCCGCCGCCGCCCCCGCCGCCGCGGGCCGCCGGCACCGGGGTGGGCCCGCACCAGCATGCTGCTGACGTCACCACCCCCAGTGCTAAACGCCAGCGGCGCGACTTGGAACCCGGCCAGAGCAACAGCCCGACGGCGGCGCGCGGAGGCGACAACGGCGGCAGCAGCCCGGGGCGGCAGCCGGGCGTTGGGGCCAGGGGTGGCGCCGCGGGGGGGCCGTCTGAGGCGTCACCCGACGCGCCAGGGGCGCCAGAGGTGGCCATGGCCTCCGGTGACGCCGGCTCCGGCCAGCACGGCAGCGGGGCGAGCAGCGGCGACAAGCAGCGCAGGTCGTGCGGGCCGTCCCAGAACGCGCTGCTGCACAGCCACGGCGGCAGCGGAAGCGGCGGCGGCAACACGGGGCCGCGGAGCGGCGCGGGCAGCAACCCGCAGAATGGGAGCCACGGCAGCGGCGGCAATGGCAGTGGTGGCAATGGCAGCGGCGGCCACGGCAGTGGTGGCAACGGCTCGGGGGGCAACGGCCACAGTGTTACGCGCCACGGTCGCGGCGACGGGGCCAACGGGGGAACCACCTCGCATCGCCAACCTCAGGTGGCGCCCGCACCAATGGCCTGTGCTGTGCTGCCTCAGCAGCAGCAGCAGCAGCAACAGCAGGAGCAGCAGCAGCAGCAGCAGCAGCAGCAGCAGCAGGAGGAGCAACAGCAGGAGCAGCAACAGGGGGCTGCGGCGCCTGCTGGCGCTGAAGCTGGGGCCCTGGCGGTGCAAATGGAGGTTGACGGCGTGGGAGTGTCCTCCGGCATGGCCGCGCTCGCGCCAGGCGGTGGCACGGCGGACGCGGCTGCCGCGTGTGAGGGCGCGCTGTCAGGCCGGCCCTGAACTTGCCTGATGAATTTGATGAGCGCAATTCCATGAGGTGTTTGTTTTTGGAGCCCGCCAGTCGCTCTGCGCCATCTGTGGATTGACGAGAGAAGGGCGAGTGTCGTCCCGTGCCGCGCCCGCGCTGTCAGGCGCAGTGCCTGCTGGAGCCTGTGGGGCCGTGCCGTGGCCCGGGTTCGTTCCCATGCGCGTTCGACCCCATTCTGGCTGCATTTTGGGTACATTCCAGGAGCGTATGCAAGGGAACGCACAGATACGACGGGGGCCGAGTGCGTGACGGGCCAGGCGCCACCTGTTTGGTGGCCGCCCGTCTCCCCCTGGCCCTGTATGATTGCGTGAGGGCCGCGCATCGCAGTGGCCAAAGAGGACAACCAGATGCACGCACTTTGAGTGTGCTGCGATTGGATGAGCCCCTGCTTTGGGGGCTTGCACTCTCGTCTGATGGACGCCCGCGTTGCGAGTGCAGGCGCGTGACGCGCTCATCTGCAGCGGCGCGCGCCTGTAGTGCACGCGGCGGCCCTGTGATTTGTGGTGCACCCTGTACGGTTGGGCGTTCAAAAGTGCGCGTGAGCCGCCACGGCACCGGCGGACATGCAGCATTCGGCACTTGGCCTGCACACTTGCTACCAAGCAAGCAGGTGCTTGCACGGCAATGCACGATTTTGCTCTCCTGCTTTCCCCGCCTGCCAGAACCCGCCCACTATCCACACACCATCCATATTGTTTCCCGGCGGCAGGCATACTGTGAGTCGCACCCCCCTGTAGCCTGCGCCGACCACCCACGGCCTCCGCTTTCGCTGCGCTGTTGCCCCCGCTGCGCCAGGCCACAAAGCTCTTCGCTTGCTGAGTCGGCACACCGCGCGCGGATTGCCGCATGCGCCAGCCCTAAATGCACACAGACAGACGCCCTTGGCAGCTGCCCGAGGGCGCCAGCTGTCGCGGTGTGTCCACCTTGACTGCACTACCTCCTGACTGTTCCCCATGTTGACCGAGTTATTTTGCACTTGACCGCGTTTGTATGCTGTCAACTGCGTTCTTCTGACGTAGCTCCAGTGCGCCGGCTGGCATCTCTTCACCCACTCATCTTCCACGCATCCCTCAGCTCCTCGCACCGCGTCACTCCTTTTAACCGTCGCGCGCCCAAGTCGTGTGCGCGGTGTTTCAAACGATCTCCTGTCATTAGGTTCCCAGCGCCCTCCCAAACCCTGGGGGGACAAACCCTGGGGGAGGGTTTGTTCGTCAAGTCTCCCTCCATTACACCAGGTGTCATGCCTGTCAGCACAGGTGGCGCGAGCCGTTTGCAGTGTGGTTTCAAGCGTTTTGCAAGCGAGGCCAACGCTCGCTCCCCAAACCGCAGTGCTTCCGCCCTCGGCGGTGTGCGCGGCCCTTGACACCCCGCACCCCAGCGTGGGGCCACCCGTGGCCCAAGCTGCTATTGACGCGGAACAGCACGCGTGAGACAAGGCTGCGCGTGCGCCTTGTTCATCCTGGAGCGAGAGAGAGAGTATGAGAGGGATACTGAACACATTGCGCACTGCTCACTCAGGTCTTCTCCCAACTGCTGTAACAGAAAACAAACACGCCTCAACACCCTGCACCCACGACCGATCGTATCGCCTGCACACTGGGCCACCTTCCTCACCTGCAGATGCTGCCCTCTTCTGCCAACCCCAAAGTAGGGATCCACAGTGGTTAGCGTATGGAGGGTCACTGTTCCCGCACTTATGTGTATTGACTGTCACACATTACCTCAGTCAACGCTGGGCCAATTCCTATGAACAAACGATGCTGATTCTCTCTGGGTCATCACGATCCTTCAAGGGCACAACAACTCTGCCGGCTACGATAAGAGTCGCTTGCATTGATGGTGGTCAAAATTGGACCTCTTGCGGTCTGTGTGTGTTTCAAATGACTCAGCTCCAACACTGCACCCTGAACCAGCTCTGACCCCATGCATCGGCATGCACACTCATGAAACTATCTCCATGCCCCTGCATATATAATACACCATCCACGTGCATGTGCAGGCTTTACAGTCATGACGCGGTGCAGCCACGTTCCATCGGCATTCTCGGTCCTTGCAGTCTTGCGTCCATAGCCCATTGTGCCATTGTCATCTCGATTCATGTTGCTTGGTCTAGCCCAGCAGCCCTTCTTACATTGATCGCTGTGACGCACGCCCTTCAGAAGAGTCCCTAGCCAGCATACCTGGGCCGCTGGCTGATGGCCATAAAGCCAGTGGCTCTCAGCGTCATTGTGTGTGCGCTTTTATGCTCGGCCGCGGTCTGGCCGGTCGGTGCGGAGGTGCGCTTGCCCATCAGCGCTCTGTTTCTGGGCATGCGGGGCCTCTCTGACATTGCGAACGCGCCTGTAGGATATCCCGACCAAGGAGCCACGACCGGCGGGTGATGCTCTTGCCGAGTCTGGCGATGGGTGCGAAGCGGCACGCAGTGCTGAGTGCACCGCCCCTGCTGCGATCAGTGGTGTTACGGAGCCAGCGGCGGCAGCCTCGCCGCCGCCCCTGGTGAGGCCCAATCCAGGAGCCCCTCTGCTCTCCTTCCTGACGAGCCTCGCAAGCGGCGGCAGCGGTGAGCAGCTGCAACAGCAGCTTCCCCTGCAGCAACAGCAGCGGGACACTCCGGAGGCCGATCAGCAGCAGCCGCAGCAGCAGCAGCAGCAGCCCGATGCCCAACCGCCCCAGCAGCCGGCCAGCCCTCCAGGCGATGAACAAGTAGACGCCTCGCATGAAGGGTCGGCTCCGCATCCGGCCGGCGCCAGCGTCCCTGATCCCGGCGCACAGCACGGCCAGTCCCCGGACGGCCCAGCCCAAACTGCGGAGGAGCTGCCCGGCGGCGCCCTGCAGGCCACTGTTCCCCCTCAGGACGCCGCCCAAGCTCCCGTGCCCGTCCCCGCTGCCGCCCCCGCGCCCACGCCCGCCGCACCCGTGCTCTCCGCGCCGCCCGCGGCCCCACCTGCGCCGGCGCCGACGGACGCGCCGCGGCCCTCCACGCTGCCGCCGCCGCCCGCGCGGCGCCTGATCAACCTGGCGGCGCTCTCGGACGGCGCCGCCGTGGTCGCGGCAAACCCTGAGGCCAAGCGCCCCGAGCGCTGCATCGACGGCGACCCGGACTCATTCATGAAGAACGACTGTGCGGCCGCGAAGTGGCTGGTTATCGAGCTGTCGCAGGTGGGGGAACGCCCGGCGCGGCCCGGGCCGAGCCCCGCCCGCACGGCGCGGCACCCCGGCTCGATCTCCGCGCTGACGGCTGCCGCCGCCGGCACTGGCCTCTAACCGCGTCCTCATGTGTGCCACCTTGTCCTCCGGCGGCGCTGCTGCTTGGGCAGACCCCCACACCCTCGCATGCGGCAGCCACGCACAGGCCGGCTTGCCCCGTCTGAATGCGACGCCACACCGCGCAATCCTCCTACAGCTGGGCACTGTGGAGCGCCTCAAGGTGGCCATGAAGGAGCTGTACAGCGGCCGCCTGCAGTCCTTCCGCGTCTTCGGCCGCCAGACCCACCCCCGCCGCGACGGGCCGGACATCGCCGCGGGCGCGGCCAGCCGCGACGGCTGGCGGCCGCTCGGCGAGTTCACGGCGGAGAACCGCCGCGGGTCGCACTCGTTCGCGCTGCCGGCGCGGGGGGAGCGGGTGCGGTACATCCTTCTGTCCCTTGACACGCACTACGGGTCGGAAGCCATGTGTGCGCTTAACTCAGTTGAGGTTTTCGGGGTCAGCGCGGCGCAGGAGCTGGAGGAGGCACTGCTGCTGCAGGAGGAGGGCGCTGACGAGGACGCAGGCACGGGCGAGGGCGCGGGGAGGGAGCCGCACGCGCGGCGCGGGGAGGAGGAGCGGCGAGACGAGGAGGAGGAGCAGCAGCAGCAGCAGCAGCAGCAGCAGCAGCAGCAGCAGAAGGAGCAGCAGCTTGAACAGGGCGGCGGCGGCAGCGGCTCAGGCGAGGGCGAGGGCGACGGCCTGCAAGAGGAGGCTGAGGAGGTGAGGGGCCCTGCACAGGCAAAGGCGGAGGCAGGCGGGGCCAACAGGACCGTGGCGGGCGGTGGCGGGGATGGTAAGGAGGGCGGTAGGCAGCAGCAGGACTCAGACGCGCAGCAGCAAGAGCAGCACACTCTTGGCGTCACAAACGCTGCCGACGGGGCGGCGCAGCAGCCGTTGGAGCAGCAGCGACAAGGCGAGCAGCAGCAGGAGCAGCAGGAGCAGCAGCAGCAGCAGCAGGATGCGCGCAGGGCTGGCGAACAGCAAGACAGTGGCCCCGGCCAGCAACTTGCAGAGGCAGGTGCAGGCGAGGGGCGCCAGTGGGACGGCGGCGCGGGCTCTGCGGGCGGCTACGGCAGCCGGGACACGCAGCAGGCGCCGGCAGCACTCGTGCAGCCGCCCGCCCACAACAAGCAGCAGCAACAACAGCAGCAGCAGCAGCAGCAGCAGCAGCAGGCGGAAGAGGTCAAGCCAAACGCGCCAGTGCTGCAAGAGCAAGAGCCGGGCAGCGACCAAGGGAAGGACCCGGCGACGGCGGCTAGGGGTGCGCCGCAGCCCAACGGCGCCCGCGAGCCCAAGGGTCCGGCGGCGGCCACGGCAGGCGGGGGCGAGGCGAGGCCAGACCAGGTAGCCACCCAGCAAGACGCCCCGGCGGCCCCACCCGCGCCTGCCAACGCGAGCGGCGGCGCCGCGGGCGCCGTCCCGCTGTCGGACGCCGCTGTGGTCGCCGCGCACCAAAAGGCGCTCGCCGGCGCCGCCGCCGACGGCGCCGCGGCCGCGGCCGTCCTCTCCGCGACGGCCAGCAGCAAGCCCAAGCTGTCGGGCAACCTGTTTGACGTCATTAAATCCGAGATGCTGCTGCTCAAGGCGGAGCAGCTGAGGGCCACCAAGCGGGCCGACGCACTGCTCAAGAGATCCAGCGAGCTGGAGGATCAGGTGGGCCGCCTGTCGCGCGATCTGGACGAGGTGCGGCAGCTTCTCGCCAGCCTGGCGGGCGGCGCGCGCGAGGCGCTGCAGCGAGAGGTCCGGGCGGCGGTCGAGGCGGCTCTCGCGCGCAGCAGCGCCGGCGGCAGCGGCGGCAGCACGGCGGCCGGCGGCGCCGACGACGGCGCGGACGACGGCTTCGGCGCAGGCGGCGGCGCGCGGCCGCAGCCGTTGTGCAGCCTGGCGGAGCGCGTGCTGCGGCGGCGGCTTGCCGCAGCCGCGGGGCTGTGGGCGCTCGCGGGCGCGTCGCTGGCGGCGCTCATGCACTCGCGCGTGGAGTCGGCGCTGCGGCTTCGCGGCGCGCTGCTGGTCGACGCCGTCCGCGCCTGCTCGGTGCTGTGCGCGCTCGCCGGCGCAGCCGTCGCGGCGCACGCGCTGCTGCAG